CCTTCCCCGCCAGTGAGGTGACATTCCATGTCCCAAAAACCAGTTTCCATGTCCGGGGATCGGACCGCCAAGGCTCCCGCCTCGGTCTGCCACCCAATCCACACTGCACCGGACCCTTCATGTTCCTGAAGAAGATGAAATATCTGCATGTTTTTTGTTTGTCTCCTGTCTCCTTCCACCTCTTGTCTCCTGTTTCCTTCCTCCTCTTGACTCCTGCCTCCTTACTCCTCTTTTTGTCTCCTCTTGTTGGTCTCCTCTCTTGCCTTCAGAAAAACTGCTTTCTGGCCTTTCTATTAGTAAATTCATTTACAATGTCATCAAAGCGCTTATTTTCCAACAGGGGCAAAAGTTATTTTAGGTTTTGTGTGAAAATATGTCCAGAACTATAAGAACATCACCAACTAACTAGATGTGGGGAAGAGCAGAGGAAAAGTAAATGTCTGTGAGTTCAGCGAACTTCAAATCCTTCCTTCAGGATGAAAGAACCACCATAAATGTGACCATGAGGTGAGTAGCAGCTACGCTAGGGGGAGGAGATTCTGAGGTGACGTCATATGTGCAACGTGCTGATGTCTTATTTGTAGTTGCACAACATGTTTGATCCAGGGCGTAAGGCAAAGCGGATTAGAAAATAGCTCTTATACATTCAATAGCTGTGTTTCCATTAACGGAACTTCACAGTAGATTTGCAGGAACCCCTCAAAATGCGCACGTCTCCGCTTGTCCGGGCCGGCCGAACGGCCGTTTTCAGGAAATTTCTGAGTACCTGCTCAGGGGTAGGTACTCCGAATGCCCGGTGGAGTAACTGAGCAGAACCTCTGGTGAACTCACACTGATTGGATGTAACTCAGTAGCACATGACATCAGCGGACGTCGTCCAAAACAACCAGCATTAGTTAAATTAGAAGGGTTGCTGAAGCAGGCTGGAAGCAAAGGAAAATAAGCACTGATTGCGCTTAAAATCTAACTGCCGACGCCGGAAAACACGGCAGAATTTCCCCACAGACTTAATTAAAGGGACTTTGTTGTCTCACAGAGCGCCGTAAAAACGACGCTTCTTCTGGTCATGGAACGCCACATTTTACATCACACAGCAGCTCTCATCATCTGAAAGGATTAAATCACGATCTATTTCGATCAAATAAATGCTGTTAATGTTATTTATGTTACTGTGGATGATTTTGGGCAGTAGTCAGTGACATCACCCACTGCCAAATAAGTCTCAATATGCTGACGTCTGTGCAAAATTCAGAAAAGGCTGAATTTGAGTGGAGACACAACAGCTGAGAGGACTGGGACATCCTATCTCCTGGTCAATTTCCCATCCCAGGAATTATCCTGGAGTTCCGGTCATGGAAACAGCTATTTTCCATTCATCCGTGGACCCAAGAGCCGACCGGAAAGAGAGGAGAATTGGGCTTTCTTTAGAAGAAGAAGTTTATTTACATAGCTCTTAGACTCAAGTTACACAGTGATTCACAGTAAAAACAGACATACAGCGAACAACAAAATGACAATAAAACATTAAATAAAGCAACAGCATCACAATAAAGTATCAATTATTATAGGTGGCTAGTGGTGGGGTGGGATTATGGAGAAGACAGCCAAAACTTGTCACACTGAGGGTTGGAGGAGTAGGACCCAAAGCGCAGATACCCAGAATGACACGAGGCAAGAGAGGACGTAAAATGAAACATCTTTATTAAGATGGTGAGTCCAAAAGAAAACCTAGAGGCACGAAAGCCAAAAAATCCTAGTAGGGCAGAACCAAAGAAAACTTAGTGGGGCACGGAGCCAAAACACCTGGAGACCTAGAGATCTAGAGGGGGGGGGGGGGGGGGGACGACAAAACAACACCGACACGAACAATGAACCAACAACACAGAGAGACGCAGACAGGGTTATATACACAGAGGGGAGCAATCAGGGAAACAGGTAGCAGGTGTGTGGGGAGTGTGAGCTGAAGGGATCAGGAGAGATTAATTAACTAAATGGAAAGGAACACATTGTTACAGGAAAAGACTGACTGGGAAAATAACTATACAGAGAACTAAAGATAAGATAATTAATAAACCTGGAACTAGTTACCAGAAAAAACACTAAATCTTCTGCTTGGGGAACTAAAGAGACAGGGAGGGGATCTATGGGGAGACTAGACTAAATTGGGTGGGATAACTAAGTGACCCGGGGGAAACATGAGGGAAACCTGGAAGGGGCTGGGGACCAAAGGGACACAGAACCTGAAGGGACACCTGAAGGGAGAACCTGGAGAGGGCTGCAGACAAGGAGACACATGAGGAACACAAGGAGACACATAAGGGAAACCTAGAGAGGGATGGAGAACACAAACAGACACATGAGGGAGACGCAGGACGCAGACCATGACAAAACTAAACCTTTAGTGACCCTCGAGGACCAAGGTTGGGCACCCTTGCTTCAATTAAAGCGACTTTCACAGAGGTGAGGCGACACAGCGGGGGAAGTGTCATGAATGTGGAGGATCAAACCAGCAACCTTCCAATTACTGGAAAACCTGAGCCATTGCTGCCCCATGTCGTCTTCACTCCCTATACCCTGCTGGTCTAAGATGTTTTCCTGCTTGATCCATTCAGCTGAGTCTAGAGTAATCCATTACCCAGGGTTTTACTGACTTTATTAAAAACCTGACATTGACCCAATGATCTAAATCCCATGTGTTGAGACAGGAAAACATCTGAGACATGCTAGAGCCAAAAGACCAGGATTCAGAAACAAGCTCTAATGGGCTCGACACACGGGAGGCGACATCGCCTCTCCTCCATTCATTTTCAATGAGACATGCGCGACAAAGCGATAATCGCGGGTCTCTCTCCTACTAAGCGAAATGCGAAAAACGTGCGTGTGAAAGTTTGCACTCGTGCACGTGTCGTGCACGTACGACCCAGCGACGCGATCCCAGAAAGTTGAAACATTTTCAACTTTTCATCGCTGTCGCTCGGACGAGGACCAATCAACGGAGGTTTCATTCACTGACCAATGAGCGGACAGGATGCTCCGCACATCTCCGAGCAAACATGGAGGAGAAGTTGATTATTAGTATGTTTTATATAGTAAAATCAGAAGTTAGATTTCACATAACTCTAGCAGCACCTTGTGAAACATCATATCTACCATTTTATTGACTCTGAACCGCTTAAATAACCTTAATTCCCTCCAATCTGACACAGCCAAACAAAACAACGGAAGTTTCGATTTCGCAATGGAACAGAACGCGTAGACGGCTTTGCCGCTGGCCGCTGCCGCGGATCGCCTCCCGTGTGTCAGGTAATAAAAGCGACAGCTACAAATTTCGCTGATCGCGGTCGTTTGTCGCCTCCTGTGTGTCGAGCCCATAATGGAGCAGTGATGTCAGCAGCGATGGAATGTAACAAAGTACTTTATTCCTGTAGAACAATTTTTCTATTTCTGCACTTTACTTTAATAATTCTTGAAGACCACGTCATACTTTCTACTCTACTACTTTTTCTAAAAAGTTTAAAAAATAAAAGTCATGTAATCTGCGTTTTGCATTTGAAGACATTTACTTAAACCAAACATTTCTTGGATGCTCCCACTTTTACCTAAGCATTTTTACTCCTTTATCTGTACTTTTAGTTAAGTAAAAAATCAAGAACTTCTTCCAACACTGAAAGTCAGCATTCCCAAGGTCCAAGTTGGAAAAATCCACTGCAACTCAGAATAACAGAGATCCCTGAATTCTAAATCAAATATTACTTTCTAATGAAAAGCAATAAATGTTTATTTTTGTATCTCAGTAATTTAGTAGTTTGATCAACTTCAATACATCTATTATATGGTCATCGATCCAAAATACAAAAGTCGATAGAATAATTTATTTTGTAAATTTAATGATTTTGATGTTCCACTGGTATGCCTGTTTCCACCTGTTCTTGTGGAAGTTTGCAGCGGTGAGTAGTGAGAAAACAGAAATGATCTTTTCCTGAGAAATGATTGTGTTCCATCACTTGTCATTTAGTTTCATATCCATCAGCGGATCCCATTGAACCAAATCAAAATGGTATTAAGGCTGAATCTGGGATATCGGCAAACATCGAATCGCAATCCACTGCATCGGTATAAAATTGTATCGTGATCAAACTTACACTGGTTTACTACTAGAGTACAGTCATTCCCAGATCAAAGCTCTGACTTCTGTGGCAAAGGGAAGCTGCAGAAGGTCAGTAAACCATGGCGGTCATCTTCAATTGTAAACTTGAAAATTTAAAGGTGTGGATCGCCTATTTAATCAACACGTTTGCAGTGATCTCTAGTAGGAACAAATGTCTTTTATGTTGTACTCTGGGAAAGAAAAAGCTCTGGTGATGTGTGACGTAGATATGTCAGGCTTTTCCAATCCTAGATTTTCACGTCTATTTTCTTTCGGAAGTGAAAGCAGGAGACAGGCGTAGGACGCCATTTATGTTCAGCCTGCATGAAAACCATAGAGTGACTGATTATAAGCAGAAATAATAATTAAAAGATGTTTTTTTCAGCGAACCTCACCTTGAAACAAAGTTCTTGTGTGATCCATTTAAATAGTTATGGGGAAACCCATCTGACATAATTATTAGCTGTTTTAGTCATCTTCAATCGGATTAAGCCAATAGATGTTTATCCAATCATTACTGAGAGCTTCATTATAATTTATGCAGTGAATCACACACACACACACACACGCACGCACGCACGCACGCACGCACGCACACACACACACACACACACACACACACACACACACACACACAGAGAGAGAGAGAGAGAGAGAATAAACATTATTGCCCACCTATGTGACTTTGATTAAAAAAATAGATCCAAGTAGAAAAAAAGGTTAACTAAAACCAAAAATTGAAACCCTAATTAGTCCAACTATTAATTTAAATAATGATTTTGTTTTTGGGTTCTCTCCTGAAGCCCCCGGACTTCCGGGTTTAATGCATCTGTCACACCTTCTGCTCTCCATCAAGTTCCAAATGAGCGGCAGAAAGCAGCTGTTCTCCCAGAGGAGACATCCTAACCTCCCGTGGGCTCGTCGGCTCTTCTCGGGGACCAATCAGGCTTCAGCTGACACTCAGCGTCCAGGATTCAGGTCTGGCTGCCACGAGAGCTGACGGGAGAAGGGTTCAAGCGCGCGCTGGACTGCTGGGAGCGCACCCAGCTGGGAACTTTTTATATTCCTGTCCCTCAGACGCACGAGCGGGATGTTTACCGCGAAAATCGCGAGAGCTTGAGTCGCCGTTATTCAGTTTAGTCAACTTTAAGAACCAGATCGTCCGGGTTGCTCCTGTGAGCGCGGACGCAGCAGCTCCAGAGGAGGAGGAGGAGGAAGAGGAGGCTGGATGAAGCAGGAGACGGGTCACTGAGCTGCAGCGAGCCCGGTGCCAGGTCCCCTTTCCGAAACTCTCCCAAATGTCACCGGACAGGATGATGATCATCGGACTTCTGCTCAATGTCTTCTCTCAGGGTAAGATGCGCGTTTCTCATTTCTGTTAGAATAAAACCTTTAAGTGTCACACTTCACCTCCTCGCAGCTTCCGTCCTTAATAAACCTGCACGCACATTACAACCATGAAAACATGGACACAAATCTAGTTTTATGATTATCTATATTTTATCTGCTTCATAACTAATTGGTAATTCAAGAAATGAAGATGTGTATCTGCTGATTCTGATGAGTCGAACTTTCCTAATTTACCTGTTTGCACTTTGATTTTTTCATTTATCACAACAGATTTATTTTTTACGGGGACAAATAAATGATAAAAACACACAAAACACATAAGAGCAAGACAGTACCCACATCCTCCAGATTTAACTAAGACATAAAATTAAAAGAAGCCTAACCCTTCTAGTTTTTATGTCATTTATTTTAAATGGGATGGCATCGTGAGTTCAGGTCTGTTGTCTCTGCCTTGGACTTGTTCCAAACAAAGCTGTTCTAGGTAATGACTGGACTGTCCCAGGTCATGATCCGGTCCATTAAGGGTTTACATTTTAAAGAAAAGGGAGGGATGTGCATCAGCGTGCAATATCACTCTTTACTGATGATCAGACAAAGCTGTTTGTATTTGCTCACACTTGCACACACATTCAGCGGTTTTATTCGGATTTAAACCAGTAGCCCGATCACAAGGGTGGATAACGTCTCCCACTTTGTTAATCCTGTCAATCCGATGACTCCTTTTCTCAAAGCAGCTGTTGCTGTTTCTTTAGCGAGTGTGTGAAGTGGTCTTTAGGTTACCATTTCCCAGGGGTCTCACAAATGGATACAAGCACTGGAACTGCTATAATGTTGTCTGGAGCGGCATGCTTCCCTGCATCCATTCCAGGGACATTGTAATAATCTGGGCTGCCCATTAGAGATTAGTATATCGTGAAATGATGAATGCTTTCTTGTGAATGTCAAAGCTTCCAGGCAGCCAGTGTATCACAGGCAGCACTTAGGTGGAATCACACCGAGGAAAGCAGTCATTTTCAAGTGCAAATTAATTGAGATCTGAATCATTACACATGCAAATGAGATAGTCTGTCATGATGTCAACCGCTGCTATTACTCCTGACTGAAAAAAAAAATCAGAGGATTTAAATGTTGTTAAGTGGCGTTTTTGGATCATGAGTGGAAGAAGGAGCGCTGTATTGTTGCTGCATGCTGGTTATTTAGGCTAGCTTACCTGGAAACACTTCCATGTCACCTTATTGACGTCTGTGACATCGTTGTTGGAACTTCAGATTTAGATTCAGGTGTTCACCAGCCATGGACGCAATTTTCACTTTAGAAGTGGGGGGGACACGGGGGGTGTCTTTACAGTATGTTCTAATGGGAAACCGGCTTCAACACAAACGGTTGTTTTCTGCTTGGTCCTAGAGCTCAATCAGTGTCAATTTAATATAGCGTAATATTGTTTTTGGATGGTAAAAAGTGCAGGGGTCAAAACTTGACTTTGGAAAAAGTGGGGGGGACATGTCCCCCCCCCCCCCCCAAAAAAAAATTATGTCCATGTCACCAGCCACTGGGAAAAGCCCCATGTGAATAAAGAAAAGTGCCACATCTGCATTATTCATCCAAACATGCTCAATATGCAAACTGATTTAGCTTCATGTAGTTTCTTCCAGCTTATCTTTAAATAGTTTTTGTCATTATCTGTTACTTTTTGCTGTTTGATTTGGTAACTTCAGCCTCAGGCCTTTTTGATGAGGCCCCACCGTTAACTTTTCCGGACATGGGAGTGGAAAATGAAGTTTGAATGACATTTGGTCTGACTTTGACCCGGTGCTGTCAGGCCTCTGTGGATTGTTGCTCCAGTGCGGGTTCAGACGGTGACTGCTGGCTGACTATTGCTATTTTTGTACCTCATTAAGTGGACTTGATTGAGCCATAACAGGGGCTGTCATAGATCTATTGGAGTTCACTTGGGGTCTGTGCGAAGTTACACAAGGACCAACAGACATTTTCACTCTACCTGCTCGTTGTGCCATAGACTTTCTTGCACAGGCATCAACTTTTATTTTCTATTCTTACAATTCAGTTTTTCATTCAGATGAGAAGCACAGATTTAACTGGTGACAAGTCCATTGAAAAATTAAACTCTGTTGATGTGCAGTTATTTAATGTAAATTAATTATTAGGCTCACATCAAAGATGACTGCACCATATCTCCTTCGAGCTTATAAAATATGTACCTCGAACGTTAATTTCTATCGCTTCTGCCTGCCTCTCAGTTTGTTTGTGTGTTTCTGCATCCTGGCTGTCACTCACACACACTTGATCGCACAAATAAAAGCGCTCTCAGACCAAGGGAGACTGTCAGCGTGTGCGTCTGGCCAAGAAATGGTTTGGCACGTTGAAATTTGGGACGGCACTTAGCAGCAGGAGGCAGAAGCCTGAAATTTTCACGCTGGCTTCAGACATCTTGACTGGCTGATGCGGCACCTGATGCGTTTAACCTGGAGTGCAGCGGGAGGGATGCTGCCTGCGTGATGTGGCTGCACAATCCACCCACACGCCCCATTACACCAGACATTACCCGTGTACTAGATGCACTGTTTTAGAACACAAAAATGATCATGCCTGCACGCGCTATAACAGTGTCACCTCTGGATTACTCAGGCTTCCTGACACCAAAATACTGGCCTGCTTCTTCCTGGATCCATCGGGCTGGAGAGGAATAGTAGCTGCATTCTTTTTTGTTAGGAAAAAGAAACTGAATAAATCAGGAGGAGCTGCAACACGTTCCACAACCCACCTGTCACTCAGAGCTGCAGTCCCGCCTAATCAAAAGTATTTTCTGACCAAAGATTCAAAGCAAATTTAGTAAAATTTTTGGCTAAAAGTCAGAGAAAGTTTTCTATTGGACCTTTAGTGAGAGGCAAACCTTATTGTGGAAAACTCCAAATCACAGCAACAGCTAAAAATGTGCATAAAAAAAACTCAATGAAAGTGTGCATAGGCAAGGCAGCTTAATTTGTTCAGCACATTTCACACGCAGAGGCAATTCTATGTGCTTCTCAGTTGCAGAGGACAGCATCAAACTTTAAAATCAACGTGACCATATAAAACAGTTGAAAAGATACTAGAGTTGGGGCAGACTGAGGTCAGGAGGAAGCTGGTTCCATCTGTGTGCAAGCATCTCCACCCTGTTTGGTTCTGACCCGGGGTTCTATCAGCTGACTGCTACCTAACAGGGCCATTCCACCAGATGCATATTTTTATTTACTGATTTAGATCTCCATTAGCTGTTTCAAAATAGCTAGTCTTCCTGGAGTCCATCAAACGTGCTGCATATGGTGGATGGGTGCGTTTGAAACGAGTTTGAAGCATTTCGATTTGGACAGAAGCTCCCACTTCCAGAACGCATCAAGTTTAGCAGTTCAGATCAGGCTGGACAGGAGGTCAAACACAAAAGCAGTGTAAAACATCTGGAAACTTTCAAAATAAAAGTCGTGCTGATTTCCAGTGGTTTCACCAATAAAAAAGCATTTAATTTCCTGGAAAACCTGCCAAGGTTGGCAGAAAATAAAGTAAACCACATTTTGGATACATGCTGCACTCGTTCCCCTTTCTTGCGTGCTCCTAACTCGTTAACTGCTGGCCTTTCCTGATCAGAAAAGCCTCTTGCTGCCAGCATTTTTGAGTGTTTTTACAGTTTTTTTTGAAGAGTCAAAGAATGTGCTCTATGATTATGTCAACGCCAAAACTACCTATCACATGGATTTTCTGATCAGGTGACATACGCAGATGAAGATCAGCTTTAGAGCTGTGATGTGTGTGCTCATGATGCGGGGGCTCGTTCTGATGCCTGCCCAATAAAAAAAGGCAAATGGCGACTTAAGTCAACAATGGCAGCAAGCGGTTAGATTTAAAATGACAACTTTTGTTGTCAATGGCAGTGAATGAGTTAAATAACCTTTATCCACTTGCTTGTCACTGTGTGAACTGTCAGAATCATGTGTGGTCCTGCACTTCTCCGGTCATTCGGGAACAGGAGTGATGTGCTCGGTTCTCTTGGTTCTTGTTAAGACTCTAGCAGCGGCATTCTGAAAAAGCTGCGGTTACTTCACAGCTTTTTGGGAAGACCAGTGAAAAGATCATTGCAATAGTCCAGCCTGCTGGAGATGAACACATGAATGAGTTTTTCTTCTGTAGATCCTGCCCGGACATGAGACCTCTGAGTCGTGCTGTTTGATGAAGATGATGAAACACTGACCATAATGTGACCAGTTTAGCTCAGGTCTGAATTAGTTGTGACACCTAGATTCTTGGTACTTTGTATCAGTCTAACAAAACCAGTGTCTCGCTGAGCTTCAACTAATGGCAAACTAATCACAAATGACATTTGAGAGTTTTGTCTTAAAATGTCAACAACAGTTCTTCATCTCCAATTCCACGTGTAGCAAAGCCTCACTCTTGTGTCGCTGGAATTTTTAAACACGTTCAAGAAACTCATGACAGATTTTCCCTCAGAATACAGTGGCGTGTACAGATCTTTCAAAATGGGGTGGCCCAGGTGAGGCACTACTTTTTGCATGGGTGGCACCAATGGTCATGCTTTTTTTTTGATACCCCAAGCCTTTTGTGGACAATGAAAGGCCTATTTAAAGGGAATTCAGTGTAGTGGCACTTGGGGTGGCCAATCAGATTCCAAGGGTGGCATTTATGTTTATTTATTGTTTATTTATTTGGTAGACACTTTTATCCAAAGCGACTTACAATTTATAACCTATAGGGCATGTTGTGATCTGTGGGGGAAACCGGAGTACCCGGAGGAAACCCACGCATGCATGGGGAGAACACGCAACTCCACGCAGAAAGGCTGCAGCCGAGTTTCGAACTGCGACCTTCGTGCTGCGAGGCAACAGTGCTAACCACTGCGCCACCATGCAGCCATTTGCTACCCCAGGCCACTCTCTGGACACGCCCCTGTCAGAATAGTCAAAATAAGCGTGTTCTTGGTATCAAAATGTGTC